AAAAAAAAAAAAAAAACAACGAAAATGGTAGCACAATGACATTGTACAAATAACAAAACTTGTGAATGTTTTTCTAGTGTAATATGATCAACTTTTTCTGTTTTTCCGAAATTATACCATTAATTATGAAGGTTTTTATCAATATTTTCAAATGATTCACCACAAAAACAAAAATCTATGAAGTAATAAAATTATAAACTCAAATACTAGGTTAGCAAAAGATTCAATACCTCGTTCCTCGAGTTCTCGTCGCGCAAGAAATCGAACACCCTTTTGGGGGGCACCGGGAGCCAGAAGGAAGTTGCAGCACTTAGCACGATTCCCGGAGGCCTGCCGGGGTCGTCCATGCTTTTCCGGGTCATGACCCTGACATCGTCCGGCCCACTTCCCGACATTGTCGTCCACGTGTGCGCGGTCGATGCACCGACCCCCGTGCAAAAGCTTGTCACCATTCTTTCAGCCAGCCCCAGCATGCTCTTTCGACCCTTTGGCGATGATATCACTATACATTTACAAATTCTTGTGTGAAGTAGTATAATATTAGACGGTCGATTGGGACACGGTCAAACTCTTTGAAGAAAAATGTATGTTTATGTTGAGAAATGTCAAATTTTTTGTTTATATTATTTTTTAAAAAATATCGTTTGTATATATGGATAATTGAAAAAAATATGACAACCTAACAACTACTAGTGCTCTAGGTGTTGTAAATAGGAGTTTGCAACATGGAGCCAAATCGTGCAATTTTGTGCGGTTTGCTTCGATTTTTCATGTAAAAAAAAATCAGTTAGGTTTCGATTTGGTTTCTTCCTACATTGTCGTGCGATGCACTGCAATTGTAGTTTTTCATAAGTTCGGTTTTAGTGCACAAATTGAATAAAACATATATATATATATATATATATAAAACTGAAAACCGAGTTGAATAGTGCATTTCGGTACGATTCAGTTCAGTTACGTTACTGTAAAAATTTCGACATGTTCTAAGTTGCGGTGAGGTGTAGTTCGGGTTTTTTTTTTTTTTTTTGCTTGGTTTGTTTTTCAGTTATTTGTAATTCGATGCAATTTTTCACCGAACCGCACCGTTGCTCACCCATAGCTCCAACGTCTCCGGATGATATGTTGTCGGCCATAACACTCGCCAAGCGCTCACATTGTCGGTCGAGTGTAGCCACCCAACGTCTCGCCCCAAATGCGGTACCTGAGTTGACGAGCGGCTTGTAGATGTTCTGGACCGCTCTATCGTCCACCTCCACATGTTCGACCCAAGTAACCTAAAAAAGAGTTGGATAAAAGTTAGATATATATTTGGTAAATTCGATGACGAAAAATGAGGATTCGATTGATTTTGATTCGATTTTTTCGTACTTTTGAGTAGCCATCGGGCAATTCTTGAATGAGGCAGCCCGAAGGCCTTCTCCTACACCTTGACATCGAATTGGGACTAAGGTTGTCTAACGAAACATCGACAACTGCCCAAGTATTCCCGTCCCCATGTTGTTTGCAGTACCTCACGAAGTAGTTCTCGCGAGTCGGGACCAACGGAGAAGGGACTTGGAACTCGGCGTTCATCTGAAAATAATAAAATAACGATCGGAAAAAATTTTCTCATGTTTTTGTTTCCTCTTCAATAAGCAAAATTTATATTTCGAATTCTCAACATTACCACTTGTAAAGCTCCATCATAGTTACCCGCCATGCCGGTCGACAAAACCTCCAAAGTCGTCGCTCTAGAAACAATACACGAAAACATGCTCGACCATCGATTCTACAAACAACACATCAAACATTTTATCAAACTTTTAAACAAATTGAAAAGGTAGAACATTCAAATTAACTTAATTAAGGCCATATAAATAAAATATATATATATATATATACCACATCCATGAATAGCTCCACCAAGTTCATGTGATTCATTATCACGATAACTGACTCGCGAGAGGCCTCGGACTTAAACCCTAAGGGCTTAGGCTCGATCCCTCTCGGAAAAACCCTTACGTACTCCTCCTCGTTCAATGCCTCGAGAGAATTACAGTCGATGGTCGGGATCCAAAGAGGCTCTCCACTTTGGGCCATCTGGATTAGCTCCTCCATAGCCGCAACAGCCAGCTCGATTATCACGGGCTTTTCGGCTTCAGTTGGACCTGATACCGACCTTAGAAGATCAACAACACCAATCTCGCCTGTCATGCCAGATTGCAGCCCGAAATTATTCTCAACTCCAATATCAAGCGAACGAGATGATGAGCCGGGTGAGAGATGCGGATACGATTGCATCGATTTCCCCACGTATTTCGCAGCCATACCTGAAATCCTAGCAATCTGCATCAGAAGATCATGGTATGTAATATATGTGAGCTAAAATTGAAAACAATTATAAATGAACTAAAATTTAACAACAATTATCATTAATATTTTTACTTATAAATGAACAAAAATCATTGTGTGCATTTCTAGCTACAACAATTGTTCTAACACATTCTACACACAATTGGCACAAAATATTCAAACAACATTCAACAATAACAGCAATAATAATAATAAACGGAAGCTATTAAATCTTACTTCCTCTCTCAAGCGAACGTTCTCGATCCTCAAGTGTTGCTCGTCAAACGACATCTCGCCAATGGCAGCCGGGCCCCCACAATTCGGACAAGTGGCACAACTTAGGGCCTCTTTGTAGCGTACATTCTCGGCTCTTAGCTTGTCGTTCTCGTTCCTCAATTGCGTGTTTTCGGATCTTTCGTGTTGAGCCTTAAATCATAACAAAATTAAGACAACAATGTATAACATGTATATATTTGTCCAAAAACACATATATACTAAAGTACATATTTCACAAAATAAAAATGAAACATAAAATGGTTAAATTATAATAATTACCTTCATTTGGGTCCTCTTGTTCTGAAACCAAAACTTGACTTGCAAAGGCTCTAACCCCAACCGTCGACCGAGATCCTTCCTTTGCTTGTCGTCCGGGTGAGGGCATTCCTTAAAAAACCTAATTAACCGCAAACACACACATCGATCGATCAATCGATCAAGCAATGAATAAGTAATTAGGTCGAAACAAAAAGAATAAATACATAAAATCAGAAAATGCATGCAGCTTCATTTCAATATATCCTTTCTCTCGTCGTGTTGAATTTTACGGGTCGGGTCGGGTAGCTTACGATTCCATTTCTTGGATTTGGTGTTGCGTGTGGCGGTGATACCGCTTCTTCTTGTTGGGCCTTATTTGGGCCGGATCTTGGTCGTCGTCGTCGCCGGATTGAGCCTCCATTAGCTCAGTCACCGACTTATTAGACCCGTAAAGATCGTCGTCTCTGATGAGGTCCGTCTCGTTTTCTTGGTCCTTGTGGGCCATGTCGAGAAGGTGGTGGTGGCTGTCGAAAATGTTCGGATGAAACATTTTCCACGTCGATATGGACAAGCGCTGCACGAAATCCACCCTGCTGTGAAAATTTGCTAGAGCTTTGTAACTTGGTAGAATAATAAAAAATAACAAGTAACATATAAAAAAAAAATTCAGGTAAATCTTGAGCAGACTAAGTTGAATTTATACTAAGTTTAAAATGTTAAGCTTAAGCAATTAGTAATATTATTGTTCTCTTTCTTTTTCTTTTTTATTTTATTTTTATTTTTTACTCAATGTACACAAATGCGCCAATCAGGAACTAAATTATATCAGTAGTGTTCAGAATGAGATCAGAACTAAAGAGTATATTTAACTCAAATTTCATGTTCTTAAAGATAATATAAACAAATAATATGATATATATATATATATATGAGGAATAAATCTGTCTAATCTTACAAAAGAATTTCTGAAAAATGAAAAGAAACAACAAAAAAAAAGGCCCAATAAAGACTTGAATGTGACTGGAAAAAAAAATAAAAAAATTAAATTGGGTGGTTGTTAGATTACGGTTATTTATTTGTGTGGAGTGATAATTGGGACAAAATTTGGGGAGATACTAAGGTTTTGTTACGGAATCATTCCATCGAGGTTTGTAACCGTTAGATCAATTATCCTGACAGTTATATGACGATCTAACGATTACAAACCATGGTTCCGTAACGGACCTTAGCATCTCCCCAAAATTTGACAGGGTGTGGCTCCATTATCCGGGAAAATCAAGATTATGAGAGAGTTGAATACAGATTTTGTAAATTCAAAATAAAAGCAAATAGATAAATATTGTTAATGGTATTCGTTTATGAAATTAAAAAAAAAAAATCAAAAACTCCTTTCATGAATGGAGATTTGTTTTGCTACAATCCCACACAAAAGGTGCATCTTTCTTGTAATAATAATATTACCAGGAATTAAACCCTAGAA